CGTTGGTAAAAGAGTAGCCCAAGAGTTGGCGGTGGGTGATGATGACTAGCTGCCTTCCCTCTAGTCTTACACTGCTAAATTAGGAACGGCTAGCGCAGATAGCCCTCATGTAGCTTTGCGCGAAATTCAAAAACAACAAAAAAAAACCCTCGACTAGCTTTATGTGAGTGTACGAAAAAAACAAACAACCTACAAGTTAACCATCAAAAACATTTTTTAAGATATGAAGTGTTTGTATCTTAAGGAGATTTTTGGTTGAGCTCAGACAACCCGAAAACATGATACAGAAAATATTTCACTGATTCACTATGGCTAACAATTCACTAAAATTGCTTTACGTAAACTAATCGATAAACTTCCAGGTGTAATTTTGTTTTTTTCTTTCAACATAAAAATATTGAATTCTTTTACAAGTTCAAACAAAAACACGGTGGATTTATCTCTCGCAACTTTTTTTTTTTGATGTACTGTCAATTTTTATTGTAGCACAGATAAATAGAATATCTTGCTAACAGTACAGAGAAAGAGAGAGACGTTAGCTTACATTGTTCATATTGAAGCCTTGGAACACACTATCGCTTGCAATTGTTTTTACTTTACGTCTTTACTACGCTTTAGACTTGAGCAGAAACAGTAAGATTGGAGGAGATAAAACGATTAGTAGGACATGCAGGAATGAAGTCACCTAGAATTACATGAAGCACACTAAATTCGTTAGGGTTTTATTTCATTACATAATATGTGTTGCAGCTAGATATACATCGAGGGGTCACTGCCAACTTGTAGTTGTAATCACAGACCCTACGGAAAAAATCAAATTATATTTTATATGTCGTTTTATACTAATGAGTGCATATTGTAGATATATATATTCAACTAAACTTAACTCTTTCATTATCTCATTCTCAAGCGAACTAGTGTTTAATGATAAATAGCAGAATTGACAGGCCTTATCATTTTTCAATAACGATTGTGATTCTTTTACTAATTACAAATAACTAACGACTTCAAAATTGGAGAACGAATAACTTTTATTTATTTGCCAATTTTTGTCATTATGAATTTTAAAAACCGTTTTTTTTTAAATACACCGTACATAACCTTACTAATCGTTAGAAGAAAAACGTTTTATACCATAAAAAAATCACACCTTGAAATGCTTATAATTAAGTAAGAATATTTCGTCGTGAAAATGATTTTTGTTTGTTTATTGCAAAATTTCTCATTTGACGAAGTATGTCAAGTTTTGTTAAACATACGGAAATAATAAATAGTCAGGATTTCAAATTATTTTTTAATGTATAATGATTCTAAAATTTGAAACTACTTGCCCTAGGGAGTTAAAAAATATGTTTAGCAAACATAAATGGTAAGGATGTGGCACAAGTCTATCTGAACGCTACTGTTCGCGTGTAAACAAATATAGAAATATAATTGAACACTCATGTTTATCTAAGGCTTCTCTATTTAGGGTTTCGTAAACGTTGTCAGGGAAACAAATCATGTATGTAACATTAGTTATTTAACGTTCAGAAACGAAAGCAACCTATCTAAGTTTAAAGTTCCAGCAGACAAGTCTTAAGTTTTAGTTATGGTATACGTATATGTGTGTACGTGTAAAACACAATAAGTGAAAACACAATGAAGAAGCCTAAATTGGTAATGCTGGTTAAAAATATGTTTAACAAAATATTCGACTATGTTCTGCTCCTTTTTTTTTGTTGTCATAATTAAGTTCGACTGTAAGTCTGTAGACATACTGCCGTGCCACTGGGGGCTACCTGAAAGATAGTGTTTTGATAAAATGCTTGGTTTATGATCTACCCGGTTTGCATTTCAATGCTGAATAGAAAGAAAAGTTAAAAATGTTGAACAGGCTTAAAGATTTGCTATCAAAACACTGTCGAAACGTGAAGAGCATTTTGTAAATATTTGAAAATTATATAATAAACCATAAAGAACGTATTACCAAAAACAAAATACTTTTTAACAAGGCCATGTCTTTAAATTTACCGTTAATTCGAACTACCCAAAAGAAATCCAGGCATCATAAGAATAGTATCCAGAGATCAGACAAAAAATAATATTAAGCAGAAAATTATCATTTACGCACAGGTGGTTGAAAGTATGGATACATGAAATAACGATACTAATAATTGCATTTATAGTTGGATATAGTTGGATGATGAATTAATGAACAGATGGATAAGATGAATGAATGGTTGTGATGAAGGACTCAGAATGGAGCCCGAAACGTCGTCTCGAAGTTAAGAAAAAGTGAAGGAGGATCAGCAGCATTCCTATTCTTATATTATTCATTACCCGGTTTTATTATAATCAAAAATAATGTATTATACTACAGATGGGTCACTAGGTCTGTATGCATGCGTTACTAGTTTAACAACATTGCCTGCTTAAAAAACATGACACAAGACAGTAGAATCAGATCCGAAGTTATGCCAATCGATTTCTCAAGCAAGTGAGCAGTTAAAACTAACACTCGATAAGTTACTTACTTTCTACTAGCCTGACGGATGCCACGGCAACGCTAGCCCAGCATCACTAATTGTGTTGTACAAATTTTTAATGGCTGTATAAGACCAGTCCAATTATTGTCAAAGTAAGAGAATATATCATACGATATTTTTCACCAATAATTTAATATTACATTTTAGACAGTAGTTGGGAAACAAACACAAATTAAAATATTGCATATATCACAAGCCTAAACCTATGACTAAAACTTCACATCAACAGTAAAAACAACAATACGAAGAGCACAGTTTTCCTTACAATTCTTGTTGTGGGAAAGACGTGGCTTAGTGGTTAGCGTATCCTGACTGTGAATCTGGGGGTTTAGGGTTCGCGTCCCGTTGTCGTAAAACGTGCTCTACACTTTGGAACTGTAAATATGTTATAAAAGTGACGCTCAAATCCCACTATTAAATCAGACTAGAGTAGCCCAAGGCCTAGCTAGCTATCTTACCTCGTCTATCAGTTTAAAATTAAAGTAAAGTAACTTTGGTAAAGTTACATAATACCGACGTTTTATATACATACACACAAGTTTTCCAAAATAGGAGAATTCTTTCATTTGTTTTATATCAGTTTCTATGAACGTATAAAGTTTCTTTATTAACCTTTCTTGAGTTATTATTCAAGCAATAGTTATTTGTCAATTTAGGGAACTTCAACAGAACAGACATCTAGTCGCATAACATTCTTGTGATATATTCCTTTTGGCACATTAATACCTTCTTTCATTAGACACATCGTCAGTTCCAGTCTTTTTCAGTATTCTATACTTATCTTGTAATTCTTGAATATGCAGTTTCTACCAAACACCTTATTTCTCTATGAGTCAGGTATCGTCTTCGAATATACTCAAGTTAAAAATGTTTTCAGTAGTATTTTCTGTTGTTTTTTTTACTTTTAGTATAGAAAGTTCTACTATCTATACAAGTAAATACCGCACAATATACCGATCTAAGTAACGCAGTTGATTTTTTTAATATATAGAACTTTCTGAATAAACCTAACATCGCCTATTTTCATAGGTATGTATGTTTAAATCATATAGCAAAGTTTCACTTTAACAACACATCAACTGATTACACTTTGGATGATAATTTCAACACTATAATTGAAATATGTCATCAGATACTTAATACAAATCAAACACAAAAATACTGTGTAATATATTTAGTCTGCCAGTACATGATGTTTACTAAGACTATCTTCTCAAACTCCCTTTACCATATTGAAAATTTCTATTGCAATGATAAGACTTTATTGTAAAAAAAAGTACTTTAATATTCTATCGAGTGAATGAAACGAAATAGATAAAAACAAGAAAATCATTCTGAAAATTGTGTTAAGTGATATTCTTCGGACTGCATGAACAACTTACATAATATTGTCGGAAAGTTTAAATAAAAGAAAATGCAATTTTAGGAAATGTCGTTTTCCTTTTGTCTAATAATTTGTGAACAAAACCTCCAGCAATGACGTCACCATTTATAATTTGATAATGCTTTTAACAGTAGCGGAAAACTGTCATCATTATTGGGATCGTCCTTCCCAATTCTAGCATCGCAGTCAACTGTGATGGTAATGAGTAGCACTCAATTCTAAACTAATTAGTTTGGTTTTAAGGAACTTTTACTTTCCTATATATTCTTATTTTCAAACCTAGTCACGTCTTCTAAACGTTCCGGGGAAATCTTATTACACTGACTTCGTTCAGATAAAAGGATTAAAAAAAGCCTCGCCGATGTTCACCATGAAATAACTCAAATCCTTTTTGTTTTTAAGTCTAAATTTGAATTTGTAACTTCAAAAGTTTTAAAATGAAAAAGAAAGACATATACATTTATTTTTGTTAGCACAATTTACATTCTGTTGAATACCTGCCGAAAAGAAACGCTTTAATTATTATAATGCCAACAAAAATTTATCGTCTTACCTCTTTCTTGGTTTTCCTCTTTGTAGATCCTCTTTTCTTCGGCGACCTGCGCAGAGAAGACTTAAAAGATCCCTAAAAGAATAACAATAGAAGGTATGTAACATTGAAAATACGATACAGAAGCAGACATCGAAGATAATTAAAATTCAGGGTAACATCTGGTTGTGACAACAAGGTTGTTTATGTAGGTTTCGAATGAATAAATGACGAGCTTTGCCAGAAATATAAAGTATCACAGTATTTGACTGGAATGCTCATTGTAAGTTGATTAATTTGTATTGAAAAAATTAATGCAAAGGCTGAAATTATTTTAATTAACATGTTATTCAGACAAAGTAGAAAATAGTATCAACGTTTAGTATAAATTCACTTTATCGTTTCTGCATAATCTTTGTATAAACTTATGCAAATCTTGTACGATTTTCTTTAGAAAAAAAACAAACTCGGACAAACGTATTGAAGTGGATACGGACACGATCTTATATCATTGTAGCATCTTAAATATTTGACTGTGCTAAAAATTGTGTGTTCCTGAAAAATCAAAATGATACGTTTAACTACCTTCACTAAGATTGTGGCGACAGGATACAATCGTTATCATGGTTAGTAGCCTTTTCGAACGCTTAGTCTAATTGGTAATTAGTTACTATTTTTCCTAATATTATTATGGCGTACTGTTATAAGCTAGTTATTAGTTTATGTTCTACATTCTAATTTGCTACCATCTTCAGAAGACTTATAAGAAAGGTTGTGCGTGTTGGCAAAAATCGGGATTCAATATTGGGTCTTCTTGTTAGAAAGGTAGGTGTAGTAATAAAACAGAAGATAGTATCCCAACTCTTGAGTCCATATACAGCACCCCTCGGGACTTCCATGATGAAGGCAACAGATTAGCAGTCGTAGGGTAGGATATAAACTAATAAATAATTAGTATGTCATAATGATAGTAATTAATAACAAATCAGGCTTTGATGATCGTAATGTCAAGTAAAATCCATCCCATGCCCAAACAGCACATAGGAGCTGGTGCTGAACACGGGTTTCAATGACACAGGAGATGAGAATGGTGAAACATTTTTCCTGGATGGGATGTCAGTCTATCGCAGGTTAATACCTGATTATTCAATGGTATCCATTATACAGTTGAGAAGCTTGAAACAATTGGGGAAAACTATTTTGCTCAAAGACATAATATGTCGCGAGTTAGTCTCAAACTCGCAAGCTTTAAGTACGAAACTCTAACGACTGGGTCACGCTGTCCTCTTCCCCCTGGTGATCGTATAAGCAACTAAACATAACAAAACAACAAAGAGCCACGTTTGGGATGACATTTTGACTCCACTGAACTAAGTAAGCAATACTTTATATTATTCTACAATCTACTAGACCTGTTTATTCAACAAACGAAAGTTTATCAAACTAACGAATTTTAACGCATTATTCAAAATCTTAATTTATTCAGATCAGCCAGATGTAATAAAAACTTATTTGTTCATTTACATAAAAATGTTATTCGAAATCTAATAATGATAGATTTGGGTAATTTAAGAAACACAGGTTTCCACATGGTACAATGTACTCCACAATGTGTGATGATATTATAAAGTAATGTAGATTTCCATATGGTCCATTAGACTCCACAATATACGATATTATAACATAACATAGATTTTAATATGGTCCAATAGACTCTACAATGCGTGATAATATTATAAAGTAATATAGAATTTTATATGGTCTATTGGATTCCACAACATAATTTTCAGTCACACGTTAACACGGGTTATAGGAAACTATTAAGCCCACACCGAGATCGGGTTGTTTTCTTGCTTTGTAGCAGACGGAAAACAATTAAAACATAAACAATAGTTCGTAATGCCATTTCTACTCACTTTCCGGGGAAGTTTTACTATCCAAGATGGAGGAACGATGATGTCGGTATGGATTCCCAGAGTGCAGTGTTCTTCGAGCTTTTGCATATTAAAACATTGTTCCTTATTATGATAGGCTGTTTTACACCACGAACAACTGATACCCACGATTTCCTGGAATTAATAGTAGGTATATCTTAAAGAACACACTTTCTTCCACATTTACAGTTGTCGTAACATGTAAGCTATATCTAATCTTAATATCAACAGTACACACATATTACCAACTTAAACTTTTCTCTCATGAAGAGCTATTATCGGTACGGAGGTTCTTGACTTTATATACGTGTATTACAGGTTTGTGCCAAGTCTGCTATTTTGCTAGATCTCTGATTTTATACAACTTTTATAAATGGAATACAAATTGGCCAAAATACCGTAATAAAACCTACAGTGTAACAATTGAGATGTTTTCCACAACATGGTTCTCATAAGAACAACACAACATTAGACTCGTCCAACTAATCAGTTTATTAAGAAAAATTGCATATTTTAAATTAAATCCCAAATTGCCAGTTGCTATTGCTGTTGGACCTGTCGTGGCCTAGTATTCAGTGTGTTCGGACGGTGAATACGAGGATTCACGAGTCGCGATTCACAGGGTACACCATAAGAGTGACAATTAAATCATATATTTGATAACACAAGAACAGTCCAAGGAACGCCGGTGGGTACTGTTGACTAGTTGTCTTTCTTTTAGTTTAACAGTAGAATATTCGAGACTACCATGCCTAGACAACCCTTGTGTAGCTTTGTGCAAAATTCCACAAAAACTACAACTGTCATGGTCTGATATAGCTATGATATGTTGTTACATGTAGAGAGTGTCTCAAGAAGGCAGGTTTCCAAACTGAAGATATTATATTTCTAATTAATAGTTTTGTGTTCAAATGACAGAATGAAAGTCGTTAAACTTCATTAAAGAAATTTACTAAATATTTTTGAGTAAAACGAAGTTCAAAAGAAAGGTTCTGAAGAAAACTCCATCTTTCGATCCCCTCTAAAAACAACACCAACAAGAAACAAATGAACTTTCTCTGCCATCTACAGAAGTAAAGAGAAAAAGATTTCGTGTTCGAAAGTTGCGTGAAAGTTAAGAGCTCATCAAGACCGAAAGCGGAACATGAAAAGAGGAACTGGATTGAAAGTTACGTTAACGTTGATTGGTATGTCGTTATACTTCGTTCTGAAACTGAAACGATGCAGTGGGAAAAAAAATACTATAGACGAGCCAATTTACCTATTAACATCGTTATTTATGACAGATAAGCACGATTATGTGAAGAAAGGGATAATTCATTTAGATAGTATGCTTTATGATAAAAAAATGTACATGATCAAAGCTACACTTAAACCAATGTCAAGCACCGTGACACAAATAGCAGGCTAACGAAAAACTTTACATAACATAAACAAAGACAATGATTTTAAGTTGGTTTCGCATTAACACAACAACATACCTTCAGGAATAATTTGTTGGTTGCTGATATTTGCTCAAGATCAATCTGTGTTAAACGGCCCTAATTTTTAATTAATAGGCTAGAGGGAGGAAGTTGGGCAACAGCGCCCACCGCCATCTCATGCTTTATTCTAATCAAACAGTGGAATTTTACTGTCGCTCTTATAATGCATCCATGGCTCCAAAATGCGGAGCCGGATTTCACGGTAAGGGAGGCAAACCATTAATCCTCTGATTCACAGACTGGCATGCTAATCACTAATCCATGACCCATCAAAAACAAATAAACATACTTAGGACCTTAAATGTCTGATGACGTTAAAACAGAACTGGCAAACTACTCATATCGTCAGTATTTCAGTGTCTTTTGATTAGTTTGTTTGGGGCAGTGTTTATAATTAATAAAGTCAAATTTTCAAGTACAATGCAAGCCTAGAATAGTATATTTTGAGAAGATTTATTCTATCCGTATAAACAAGTCGAAAATCTATTCTAAGTTTCTAAGTAAATTTAAATAAATAATTCTAAGTATCAAATTAATAAAACTAGCTTTAAAAATTTGCAAAAATACATTTAACAAAGATAAAATTTTACTAGTTTTGATTATAAAACTTATATTAACTTAAGTTTAATAATCAATCAAACTAATAGAGGATATGTATAAATATTAAATACACTATTTCGAAACTGCACAGAAAATCTGAAAAAGCAAATCAATTAGTCTGAGTTTCATACAAACATTCTAAGCACGTATATAAGTTACTGAACAAATATTTAATTCAATTGAACCAACGAACAGTTCATTTATTTTCAGGGTTAATTAATTTTTTTAACCCGGAGCTAAATAGACAATCAAAGTACTGATGAGCTTGTTTTGAAAGTCAATTTATGTTGTTTACAGTAAACTTAAGCTGCGAAAATATCCAGAAAAACAAGTGCATTTATTAATACAAATAATATATATATATGCACTCTTCTATCAAAACTAGTGAAGTATTATACACGACATGAAAAACACACAAAGAAAATTATGTTCAGAAAATACGAAACTTACCTTGCTGGCAAATGAGAGTTTGGACTGGAAAGCCTATAAAAAAAATGTAAAATTTAGACAGAAATTGTAAAATAGTAACCCTACTTGCAATGAAAAATCGCATATTTATCATTTCTTTAGTTAAAGTTACCACTATTTAACTCTAGGCTTATAACGCTAAAGATCGGGTTTCGATACCCGCGGTGTGCAGAGCACAGATGATCTAATGTGTAGTTTTGTGCTGAACAACTTATAAAGTGGATCACAATGAAATATTTAAGAACTGTGCTCCATTTATCTAATTTCCTGAAGTAGAAGAGCATTTTCTGGATAAAGGTCAATACCTTAAAATGGATTTTTTAAGCTTTACAAGTATTACCTCAGCTAGCTGCCCCTAATTTTGAATTAATAGACTAGCGAGAAGGCAGTGAGCTAACAAACAGTACCCACCGCCATCTCTTAGGCTACTCTAATCGAATAGTGGAATCTGGCCGTAGCTTTAATAACGCATCCACAGCCCCAAAATGCTGAACAAGATTTGCGGCAACGGGACGCAAACCATGAATCCTCGGATTGACAGTCCGGCACGTTAACCATAAGGGTTTGCTTGGCTGCTGCTAAATACAGTAGTTAAGTATCGAAATCTAGCAGTGTAAGTCCGCAGACAAAACGTTGCGCCATTGGGGATAACCATAAGGGAATACCTCAACAATGATATTTAGCTGTTATTTGGCAGTAAGAAAAGTATAGCTTTTAGTTCAAACATATATATGTGTGTGTATGCCATAAAGTATGATAAGGTTACGAAAATATTTTTAACGCTTAGAATAAAATGCTCAAATTACCAGGAAAATACCATTTCACAAACGCATTTTTGAATATATTTATATATCTTAATTTATTTAATACTATTTCAAGGTTCAAGAAATCTTATTTCTAAACACTTGGTTATTTGTAGTAATCCATGTTTATTTGTCATGCGTAAAATTCCTCATGGTAAAATATAGCAAACCGGAAGAAAAAAAAACAGGCCAAAAATTATTTATTTCAATTACTGTGGCAACGTAAATTTAAGTATTATTGCATAATATTTACAAATTAAAGCGTTAAACTCGAATAAAAAAAATCATCTGTAAAGCCGATTCAATGGTTATTTATTTTCAAAAGGAAGAGAACGTTATTATAAGCTTCTTTTAACCCTTTATCATTGCAAACGATACCTTTCGATAAACACAGAAGTTCTGAATCCAACTGAATCTAAAATGTCATCCACAGCATTGAAAACCCAGCTAAGTAACTGATGGAACATACAACCCATCTGAAGTGAGTCTTGGCTACTTGACTCAGTTGGAGTGTTAAGCGTAGCCTAACTCACTTCAACGAGTCATTTAGTTCTCTTTTTTTTGTTTTGTTTGAATTTCGCGCAAAGCTACACGAGGGCTATCTGCATTAGCCGTCCCTAATTTAGCAGTGTAAAATTAGAGTGGGATTGATCGTCACATTATAACGCTCCCACGGCTGAAAGGGCGAGCATGTTTGGTGTGACGGGGATTCGAATCCGTGACCCGCAGACTGCGAGTCGAGAGCCCTAACCACCTGGGCCATGCCCCGCCAGAATAAGACACAATCCAATGACTTTGCTGGGCTTCATAGCAGGATACAGAATGAAATAACTCTGAAGGTCACCTAGCTCCTGTAACGGCTTAAGTTAAAATGCGATAAACGCAATCTCTTCAGTAAATATTATTTGAAAGTTCATATCAATCTGCTTGAATAGTATGTAATATATAGAACGTCTGAATCCGGAGTAAGAAAATTTTAAGACATTTTATTCTCCAAACATTCGAATATATTTTTATATCAACACAAGAATAACTAACAGTATTTGAGAATGGAAAGGAGACTAAATAAAAATGGAATCGGTTCCTACCTTTCCACATTGTTTACAACGTCCTTTCTGCTGTCGCCGGTGCACCCAGTGATGATGAATCACAGTTTGCTAAAAAATGTCCAGTGAATATCAAATATTCCTACAGAAAACAATTGTTTCCAACAACACAGTGTAGGCGATTAACTTGTTTTATTGAAATTTATAATATGGAAGATCGAAAACAGATTTTTCGAGTAAACCTAAAACCTAAATTTATATTGAGGTTTGACTGGGGCTTCTTCTACACCCATTTCAATATTTGCAGAGAGACAAAGAATTTGATAGGTTTTGTCCTTATCCTGTTTTAATTTCGTACTGGGGGAAACGCGTACAAAACATATTTTTTTTTGGTTGTGGTATTTTGAACTTGAATGCACGAAGCTTATAAAATGTGAAGGCAGAGATGTGTGTTTGAAGTAATTAAAACAGTAAAGTGACCTACCAAGACTACTTACGTATGAGGTTAAGTACGTAGAGGTCTGAACGAATCTGATGGTCGTGCGGGGCGTCTCAATAGCTGCGAGGTTACATTTAAGCGGGTTAAACCTATTCCACAACACATTATACCTACCAGACATCTTTGATAGAGAAGATACTTTGAGCCAAATGGTCTAATCGAAAATGACAAACCGATTGACTTATCTAATAAGAGACGCTTTCAATTATTAAAACTTAAGAAGGTGACGGTACCGGTACTCTAAGTATCTATAAACAAATGAAGAAATTCATACACAAAACCTTAACACATATACACTGCTGCCTGAGATGGGGCTCTAAGAGATGATAGATCAATTCCCCAAATGCCTTTCTATTTACAATGCATGGTACTATTTACATCTGCCCCTCTTTTACGCATATGGTGACATCGTCCGTACTTCCCTACTCCTTATTTCATTTTTACATTATTCAATGAGGTTTAAAAAGCTTCTCACGCACACATACGTTGCTATTTTAATTGTATAGATTATAGTTTCAGTTGTCATTACTATTCTAAGAAACTTCTCCCTATACACATATTATACATATAACAATCTATCTACTTCCCAAAGCAAACTACAATTCTATCAAATTGAACAACTGGAGATAAGAGAATGTAACATAATAGCGTTCTCCTAACTTAATGGTATTGTTTTGAACTTCGAATGATTATCACACTGAAGTTTTCTTCGCTACAGTAATAACAGACATGAAGGTAGATATATCTAATTATCCTAAATTAGGTGTCACCAAACAGTGGTCTGTGACCCCAAGAGGATCGTGGAGGAATTCTAAGTGATTCGCAAACGGGTTGAGAAAACTTAACAAATCGCTTTGAAATACTTGTCTATTATCCCTTTCTAGACAGGAAATGTATCACTGATATCCAGAAAATTTATCTTTTTTGATATCTGAAAATTGGGAGACTTATTCAAGTCCATGAAAAGGAGGCTTAGTCTTAAAAGGTTTGAGAATCCCCGTCATAAAGAAACACAAAGAAACTGTAAAATAAAGAAATTACGTGAAAGACCTTCTTTCAAATTGAAGCTATTTGTGAGCCCTTGCAAAAAACAAAAAATTGAATATTTTAAAAATGCCTCTGAAGTATCAGAGTTTCCATCTTTATCTTAAGAAGATAAAACTTACCTCTCTGTATTGTCTAATACCAACATCTTTAAATGTTGGTTTGCAGTAGAACTTCTGAAATCAGGAAAAGAAAAACACACAATATAAATGAATACATTTACACGATAGAGAATTTATAAAACTTTAAAATTCTTATGTTATTTTGGATCATTCGTGTACAATCACATTGCTTATTTGCATTACATATATATATATATAGGTAGGAGCCTGTGTTATGGACAAAAATTATTAATATTAATGGCATTACAACTATATGTATGTGTATGTGTTTCGTTGTATCTGTATCCAAAGTGTCGGATGTGTCTTTGCGGTAGTTTTATTAAAGTTATATTTCATATTATTATTATGGAAAAGACACACTTACCTTTTCTATCAGGATACTGATGCAACTTGTGTGAGCGGTTATTTTACAAGCAGGACATTTCATGCGAGGGCCTTGTTTCTAAGAAGAAAAATTGTTATTTACGGTTATTAAAATCATAGACTCGTGCAAATTTAAAAAATAAAAACAAAATGTATGCTTAAAAAGAGCAGCAACAAACTAATGCAATAATATAATGTAACAAACTTTAGCATTCTTTAACCATAATTGAATATAAAATAATCCACCATTTCACAACACTTGATTGCAGCGTAATCCACCCGGTATTGACACCTAACACAAAATATTCCCGTGGCTACACTTGAATACACAATAATTATTATTTTAACCATGCTAAAAAATAAACAATAAAGCATCTTTCACTTCAATAAAAAATCCACCCTTGTAATAGATTCATTCGACGGGAATCGAAGTTTAATGATGAACAACAGGAAGACAGCAGCAGCAACAACGAACATTTGACACTTGCATGTTCAGTAACAAACATTTAATTCTTGAACGTTTCGGAATATACACATTTCATCTTCGGCAAGCTATACTGAACATGGTAAATTATTAGGTACAGACATTTTACAAAATTTAAACATTCTATAAATTCACAATTCGCACACATAGTGTCTTGATTACGACGTTCAAAGTCATGTTATCTGGATCATCAAAGATTGAACTTTTAATTAAATAAAGTTTATCTATTATAAATGAACTCCCAACTTAAACAATAACATAATTTCATTACAATAAAGTCTGTTCTAAATACTTGTATAATATTGTTGCATAATTCTATTCTTTGTTTATTTGTTTGTCTTTTAATTCATTTCATACTTTTATTCTGTATTTTAATTACTTTTTATAGAGTGTTTAAACTTTATAAAATGTCTGTACCCAATAATTTACCATGTTCAATATAGCTTGCTGAAGATGGAATGTGTATATTCCGAAACGTTCAACAATTAAATGATTTTTACTGAACATACACGTGTCAAATGTTCGTTGTTGGTGCCGTCGTCCTATTGTTCATCATTAAAGTCCACCCCTTTAAATGTACTTTAATACAGATTTAGAATCCGCTATACTTGCAGATCTTCATTACAGCTTGCGTACAAAATTATTTATTTTCTAAACATACTTCTCTAAAATACGAAATGATTCACCATGAACGACTAATACGTACAAGTTAAATCACAATTAAATCAAAAATATCAGCTATTGCCACATAACTATACTTGTGTATTTTTATGTCTTTTGAATGACTCATCACAATCAGCTAATTCTATCTAATCTAGAAAAATGCAAAATTACGTACTTAGTAAATAAGAAATCGTCCAATTATCAAACTTATTGTGTATTCCTGTAAGATAATATATCGTAGAATTCAGTAAAATGTTCAGAGCATAAGATGATCAGGGCATAAAAAAATAAAGTTTATCATTATTACCTGGAACTATGGTAGAAAAATCATATTAAATTATTGCTTTCACGCATTTTACGTGTAGACATCACATTGCGTTTAAAATTCTAAATTATACGTAACAAAATGTAAAAAAAAAGAATAAAATATTTTATAAAGCATTGTAACTTTTACGTCACATGTTTGAAAGAAGGAATCAGACAATAAATAAGTGTATTCTAACCCTAAAATATCTACCTGCTGAAAACTAAAAGTATTTTTTGAGCGAATACAAACTCAAATGTTTAATTTTGGTTTATCGGGATTATCTCGTCTAACACATAAACGACTTCGCTTTCAGTGAAATATTTTATAACAGGGACAATATCATCATTTGGAATACTTAGAGGCCATCCATGGACTGAGGACACACATGTACTACCTTTGATAACTGGAAAAGAAACAGCTGATTCTAAAAGAAAAGCGTGCAACATTTAATACAATAATTCTAACTTTAAGAATACAGTTCTCATTTATACCAATTTAAATTTACGTTAAACTTGCATTCCTATTTCATACAATCGGAACCCACGTATAAAAGTAACTAAAATATCTTTAAGCTCTCTCTCTCGGGTACATTCTTCATCTGGAAGTATAATACTTCATTGTCATCTGAGATTATGACATGCAGTTTACACAGAGTTTGGCCGTAATGTGATTCGTACTCAGTTCATAGGAAAACGTTTCCCATCCCTTGAATTTTCTACCCTTAATAACACTTGTCATTATATTTATTGTTCTTCATTTTCCATTCCATTAGTAGTATCAACCTTCCTACAGATAACTGCAGGCCACGAATGGCAGTTTAAACGTGACACATAGTGGGTTGGACCACCCACGTCCGCTTACCGTTTTAATCTAGTATCATATATGAGTCATGCTAATAGAAATTAAACCTGATAAGGGTTATAATTGGTATGTTGTTGTTTTTTACTTCAGCAGATAGATTTCAGATCAAGTCATATTTGACTCTTCCCATTCTGTATCTATGTCCTGGTTTCATTCAACTGTCCTTTAGAGAAATGGTCCTTGTTTTGTTGATAGGCTGTTGGATATTGTTTTGTAACGGATGGATGTTTTACTATATTACGATCTTCTTCTTTTAGATGCTTAGCACAGCACTATTCTACGGTTTATAAGAATTAATATGTGCTATATTTAAAAGGTTATGCGTTTGAAACCGAGTCTCAATCACGATCATTTCGATTGATGCTTAGATTACAACTGTACGAAATTAACATACATGGATTTCACATTACGTGTTAGTCTTACCATCATCCCTGAATTTCACGAAAAGTATATATCAAATATTTGCAAACGTTTTGTAATTCATTCCGTTAGACAGAAGAAAACAATCAATTTGAAAATATCCTTTCCTTATTATTTGAACTATTTATTGTAATGCAGAGTACTATGCTACTTACATTGTACATTCAAACAGGCCTCTTCTCTTTGTAACCCTCAAAGTGCTATGATACTTAGATTTTATGCTCACTCAACTGTTATGGGTCACAACTTTTTATTCCAACTGCTTCTTGTAATTACAACAGTGTTATGCTGCCTAACTTTACGTTAAAGTCAAGCCTACATATCTGCCGGTTTATGGTGTCCTCTTCTTGAAAACAAAAAGTTTATGAATGTAACAAAATGCTCATTTGAGCAGTAAATCACTTTGGGGTCGTTCAACAACAACGTAGGATTCACAAATAGATTTACAAAGTGGATCAGTTACATAGTATTGATACACTGAAGAAGGGCAAACTTTTATGAATTTTATTATCCCAGGATCCTTAATAACGGCATCGCCATTTTCGGTAATAAAACTCACAATAGGCATCTATCTCCCAAGGCGATATTTATAAGTAATTGAACAGCACTATATAATTAACAAAAACATTTTCAAAATAGGATTATTAATTAACTGATTAGTTTTTCACATATAATTAATCAATCGATGAATTATTTGAAATCAAAGGGTTTGAAAATTTCATTTTGAATATTCTTTTAGATTAAGGGACCATATATTGCATTGTTCTGCTTATATAGACACACACTAGAACTGAACGTAAGTAGTTACGAAAAAGATTTTCAGTAAAACTTATAAAAGTATTAAAAACTACCAAATATGAAAACAAAATTCAAAGTAATTTTCCATAGATTCCTTTAGAAAAATAGAATAAATGAGAGAAATGACATGGAAATTAAAGTAAACAAATGGTCCACTACTGAGAGGAAACGTACGACTTTTTTATTACGACTTACAGAGTAGTTAAATGTAAATATTTCGAACTTTTATCTTGTAAATAAATGGATAAAAAGGTACGTAAAAGCTTTCCTGAAACTAGTCAAAGATAACTAGACAGTTAGTTTGATGAATGATCTTCGTTTAAACACAGATAATATGAACAGGGACAGATGAAGGGAAAACCTTTGATTTCCCGTCCAAATTTACTGAGCTCCATCGTCAAGACAGATTGGTAAACAAAATCATTTGTTCTTTTTTTTTCCGAAAGATAGCAGACCGTGGAGCCCATTATATGATAAACGACACTCGGGTTGTTGTTTAGCTTCGAAATTGCTATGGCTGTTGACAGGGTTAGTTTTGCCCCATGGCTCATCTTTCTGTGCTGTCAAGAATCTTATCGAATAAAATGACAAGTTTCCTTTTCTCAACCTTCAAATTACAGCCTTGCAGACGAGATGTGTAAAAGGCGTTTGCTTATCTCCGTCTTTAGGGGACGAAATCTATTGATGTCACTGTTTACTAAAAGAATTATGGATGGGTAATAAAAGTACCTCATGGCATCAACATTGGTTACAATACAGACAAAGAATTACCCAGTATTTTGTTTTGCCTTTCTTGTACTGATGACGAACAACGTGGTTATTTAGTTTTGGGGTACGCAGGAAAATATTTTTTCTTTCGTTATCTTATGCACATTAAGGATATATATATATGAAACATAAAAAAAAGGAATTCCAACACTGATAAACATATATATATATATATATATATATATAAGTTAAAAAACAGGGCCAACTTGACAAAAGAAACAACATTTTCAAGACTTAATTCCGATGACCGTGAACACTCTCTACCGTTTTAGCTAAGGGTGTGTGGTATAGATGACATTCAATCTCGTTATTGGATTCAAAGAACCGGATAAAGATCTTATAGCGACGTGTACTGTTGTCATATCTCTGGCCCATAGCTCAAAGTAAGGCCAGCAATATCTGAATTCTCTGACCACGTACTTCTAATGTGCCGTTGAGGTTAAAATTTTCAATTCTAATTAGCTAGATGTTAAACAAATACGTATTTAATTTGTCTAATGGTCGAACTAGATCAAATTGGTGATAATGGCTTTGGTATCCATTAAGTAAAGCTACTTGTGCTCACACGCACTTATAAGTAAGCAAGTGAATAGTTCTAACACTTCATCTCTAAATAACAATGATGAAAGTTGTATAAAAACCAAAATTGAGATGTTTATTATGAAATTGTAATCTAAAAAGAGAAAAAATTAACCTAAAAAGAGAAAAATTTGACATTGCCTGTCCTTTCATATATATCAAGAACGCCAAGTTAATTCCTAGCTCCATTAGATTCCCTCTCCTTTGGCTCAGCAGTATGCTTGAGAGCTTGTAACGTTAAAATTCGTGTTTCGATCTATGTAATAAGAACTGCACAAATAACCCAAGTTTGGGTTGAAGATGCTTTGATTTCGTCTTAAAATGACATTTTTGAGATTATGTTCTATTTAATAAAATAATAGATCATGATAGACAAATACCATTAATTTGTTCTTAGCATTTTGTTCGGTTAATATATAGTTTTACTTTTTTACAAAATGGGTTGAAATGAATTACCCAATAAAAATATTTCAACGAAAAACTTCTCATAAACAATCGCAGATACTGGCAACCATGGTGGACAGTTTCAACCCTTAGGATGTTAGACTCATTTTATAATCATGCAAATACAGCTCAGTTGTGAATAAGGGTTTATCACTTGTGAAACAAATCTCGTAAGCTTCACGAACTATCGTAACAAAAGTTTTCCTTTGAGAATTGGGTTAAACAGGTCAGATATAAGAAATTGCGCATAATATTTCACGAAGTATTAAAGTAGAATTATTCACATTACTAACTACGTATTAGGTTTAGGTCAGCATATGATGAACTTATTATTCAAAATTATTAAATATACGTATGGGCTTCTACTGTTGTTTTCTTATGTGCAGGGACTATCATGATAAGAAATATTCTGTTTCATAAAATGGATCTCAAGTATTATATATTTACTTTGGTATGATGTATTGTATGTTGTTGAATTTTCTTTTTCAGTTTCATGATTTTATTTAATGAAAATATTTTTAGAACCCTTTGGTCAGATGTAGCTGCTTTGAACGCATGCATAAAAAAATCATTATTGATAAACTCTTATATACAAACAACTTTCTGTTTCCCGGTTAAAAGTAGTAGTAGACGAAGTAAGAAAAGAATGACAACTTGTTTATATATAATAATTCTCCCTAAAGGCGATCAAAAGTTTATGTTTCACTTTCATTATTTTTTCTTTGTTTGTTCAGTGATTGTTCTTCAGGACTGGAAAAAATAAAAGGTTTTTGTGAAAAAAAATACCAATAATATATATATATATATATATATCAAGAACGCCAAATTAATTCCTTGATTCTATGAGCTCTCCATCCTGCGGCTCAACAGTAAGCTTGAGGGCTTGTAGCGTTAACATTCGGGTTTTGATCTATGTAGTAGACACTGCACAGATAACCCAGTATGCAGCTTTGTTCTTAATAATAAACAAACAAAACCTCCCATGGATTACATTGTTGTTACAATTAATATTTATTTACAGGCTCTTACAAATTCGAATGAAGTGTATGTATCATATTTGATTACACGATGATTTAGTCCATCATATTAATTAATAGATGACACTTTATAAGATTAGAAGAAAGTTTACTTGGTTATCTAATCAAGCATAAAAATATGGATCCATTAATAATGTATTTAGAAGATTTATAGACCTAAAATTAATTATTTATGTTTCTATTCCTTACAATAATGGATGCACACTTTTACAAATAAAATTTCTCATTTTATACTTCTTACTTTAATGGTTGCAGAGCTTTTCATTTTCAAGCAATGTCTACCATATTTTAAATTTCTATATTCTCTAATTGACACATCTCTTTTTGAGCCACATTTCTCATGTTTTGTATTTCTTATTCTCTTGTGGTTACATGTTTTTTCAAGCAATATCTGTCATGTTTTATATTTCTTATTCTAATAGATCCACATCTTTTCAAGTAATATCTCTCATGTTTTGTATTTCTTATTCTAATGGATTCGCAGCTTTTCAAATCAAATCTCTCATGTTTTGTATTTCTTATTCTAATGGATCCGCATCTTTTCAAGTCATATCTTTCATGTTTTGTATTTCTTACTGTAATGGATCCGCTGACTCTTAACACACATAGAAACAACCCGAACAAGTACAATAAAAGCTTTTGAATAAGAAGATGAAATGTCTCTTGCTTTCTCAGAATAGGAAAAAAAAACTATGAAGTGACTTAAGCAAGCACGGTATGAAGCCTCCAGATAAGGAAGTTACATCTGAATCTTGTGATGGATCGATTTCTGTAAAAGCCAGGTGGCTTTTATGTTATGTTTGAAGTTTTGTGATGTATCTGAAGATACAAACCACACACTGAGTTATGTTATTTTTCTCGGTCTCTTGACAACTTCTTTTTACGGAATGAAAAGTGTGAAATTTCTTTCTATAAAAGATCAATATATTTATATATATACACATATACCTGTATCTCCTTCTGTCTAAATGATATCACATATACCTGTATCTCCTGTCTAAATGATATTGTTAAAATTCTACTTATATTCAAACCTTTCCTAAAATAACACGACTTTGAAGAACGTATTCAGTTATATAAATTGAAATTTGAGAGACAACTGAAACTTTGAAACAATTGATTGATATTGATTGAAACGAAGAACGTATATAAGACATACTTTCCGCTAGAGGGATTAACACAAGTCCAGAATTTTAAACCCAGTTTATGCCATATCTTACATTTATCTAGTAACACCTGATTTTCAAACCTTTTATTATATATTGTGATTATAGAAATTCTTGATGAAAAATTATTTTACAATTATCATTGAAATATTTACATATGATGAAGCACTGTATTAAGATGTTTAACTTGATACTGTGACTTGAAAAGATGAAATTATACAGTGTTCGGGTATATACAATACAGTATTTTTATATTGAATTACCAGATTAAAGCCCTTTTTTATAAGTAAGCTGTACTTATTCTTCTTCTTCTTCTTCGGATTATACTCTTGCTTAGATATAATAATCTAAACATAAGATATGACCTCGAATGAAATAATTATGAATAAGAAAATTTAAATATCACATCCTGTAAAAGACACTGCCTAATGAACCCAAATATGCAGCTTAATATGAGTAAAACTGTGCTGACGAGACCCAAAAATGTGTTACTTGCAACTTGTTAAATTACTTAATCATAAGATCGTTTGTCATAGCTTAAAAGTAGCAAGTAAGGTAGAAATGTAAAAACAATTCATTGAGGACAAAAATAATTAACTTACTGAGCAATCGTTTTCTCCAACGTAGCACAGATCCCCGGAGGCACTAGTGGCGACCCAGAGGTGATCTCCATTTATTGCAGTCTCCTATAAGGTAGACTCATGTTAAGATTAGAAGCTAGGAAATGCATCGTAGTTACACAAAGCCAATAGAACCATAATTAGATTCATGTCGACAGTCTCAGCTTAGATCCTCGTAAAGCTAGTTTGGAACCGAAAGCAAATATTGCTGATGTCTTGCCCATCAGTGACCAAATTTATTAAGTTAATATAATTGTTAGTGACATACATCTGATGAAAGTGGATTTTCGAGGCCGTATAAAAACTCTTCATTGCAACATACTATACGAAAGAACAACAAGATATATTCATAGTTTTCACAACAAGTACAAAGATAAAAGAAAACCTTAAAATCTCAATATGCAGGTGACGTACCAATTTATCTTGTGTATGAATAATGAGCAATTATTTTAATAGGCATTATCTACAGCTTCTATATTACTTGCACGAACAATATGTGGCAGTGAATCCCGAGAAAGAAATGCTGAGCAGGAGAAGTTAGGCCATTTCAGGAAATGTCTATTTTTAGTATCAAAAAGCATTAAAAGCCAAAACATTTGAATAACTTATGTGTTCTTTAAGAAGGTTTCTACCCTTTAGGAACGATCTGGTTAGCGTCAGAAGCTGAGTGCGCTAAGGACACGATTGTTACACAATGTTGTTGATTTACATTATAAAATACTTTCCCCTTTTTAAAGTATGGAACTAATAATTAAACGAATAATTAGTTTTACATATACATCATTACAAAAGTTTTTAAAAAGTCATAACATTTTAAAAATATTTAATGGTTAGTTATTTACCAAAGATGTCGTAGTCTAATCATCCATACTAGCTTATAGGATTTCGATGATATTAATGTGTGAACACATGCAGCTTTGTTTGTTTGTTTTAGAGCAAAGCCACATTGAGCTTATTGCTGTTCCTAACGCGGGGAATCAAGCTTAGGACTTTAGCGTTCCACCGGGGGACTACAAGAAGCAATACTTAGGTGATATTTATGTGTGAATACAAAAAGCAGGATTTAGGTGATATGAATGTGAGTGTAAACACTGAATCGATACTATTATTGATATGAGCATGAACACATACTTAAATTATGCTGTTTGTGTTGTTAGTATAACGGAACTTAAAGTGTCTCATACTTACGTTGCATTCATAAAATATGTAAACAACATTATGTTTTTGTCGTAAAATATGTGATATTTACGCGATTTAATATTGTATGGAAATAAAGAATACAGAATACGGTGATAACATATATTTAAGACAGCTAAGATTTTATATACTTAAGTGCAAAGCAATAACTAACGCATAAGTAATTTTCTTTGGTTGTGAGTGTACAAACAGATTAAATTCTTACTCCATTAGTATTAATATTTCATTAATATAGAAAATAAAAACATTAATATTATTGCGTTACGAAGATTACGCTAAACCTTATTACTTACATAATGTTACATTAATAAGCAGTGATATAAATTAGGAGGTAATAATGAAAGAACGTTACTAACTCATGAATGATGTCAAGATACATCGATATTAGTTACGATAACTCTCCTAAACATTAATATTAGTACTTCACAGCTAACGGCACTACAAGTATTACCAAGTTGATGAGAACGTATAGTCAAACATAAAAAAATAAAACATTAATATTAGTAATTCACAGGTAATGACACTACAAGTATTACTAAGTTGATTGGAATGTATAATAAAATATAAACAAAAAATAAAACATACTCCCCAGTCTGGTGTGCTGTGTACTGTTCTCGTTTCTCCATTTTCTGTGGATATTTTAATTTCTCCTTGTATAGCTTTTCTGAAAAGGAAAAGAAGGATGTTAAAACTTTAGCACATATATGTACCTTCATCCGTTTTAAAAAAACAGCAGACTCTTATAACTCCTGTGAATTTCCAAAATTAATGTTAAATAATGTTTTTAACCAGATGCAGGCCTTATCGTTGTCATACTTGGCTGATCAATAACTACCAGCTCCTTTAAACTAAAAGAAACAAGTTGAAAAATAATACGAATGTATCATAGCATGGGATAATTTACTGTGCAATAACAATTTATTTTGTGTTGTTCAATTTATTCCTTGATGTCATGCTATAAAATATTATTTAAACATAATTCAAATTTTTGAGACATCTTTTTTAAACAAGTCCTTTATCAGGCCACTTAAAGGATAATGATAAGTAATAAGGACTTTCAATGTTCTATGAAAAAATAAATGTTAATCAGAATTCATTTTATAGGAATACTACTTGGTGTACCAGTTCAATGCACAGGGAAAACAATGGGCCCTGAGGGGTGACATAGCTGAGATAGATCCAAATACTGACCTCCCGATGCTGCTTCCCGAGAGATTCTGAGGGTACATGCCAGGTTTGGTGGTAATCGGTCCAGTTGTTCGGAAGTTATAAGCCGACACACGCACAGACTTATATCAAGTAATGATTTAGATGAGTTAATATTAGACTTTGGGGTGGGAACAAACAGACACACATCACCCCTGGTAGACACTTTCATACTTTTCCTTTTCCCTCCTGATGACGGTCTTCAACCCATTAACACAACACATCTTAAGAGCAGTTGTCCGGTAATTTAAAATCTCAGTACACAGAAAGCGAACTCATTTGATTAAACACTAAGTGGATTTGTAGCAGTTAACAAGAAACGGTACTTGAATACGAAAATAATATAAACTTGCGTAGGTTTAAATCTAATTAAAAGTCTTATATCGAAGACCACACTGCAGTATAAGGACGTGAATATCTGATTGAATACCATGTTAATTCAGAATTATATCTGTTAAAAGGTAAAGTCTCGTTGAATTAAAGACAAGTGAGGACCCCATTGCTACTACAATGGTGTTAAAAGAATGTTGAATAAGTTTCAAATAATACTGTGCATTGTAAACTGGTATTTGATCATGCAGACGCTACAGAAGAGTATTTCGATATAAACGTACACGAGTGTAAGAGGTGCAGTGCATTTGTTGTGTTTGTTTGATAATATAGTTTCATAGTTCAACGTGTGATTTACAAACAATTTAGTAGGCATTAATAATGTTAACCATCAGTACATCACATCCTTATTTCCATTACAAAGTGACAAATCACAAATCCGGTGTTGTAAGCAGTGGCGTAGTGAGGATATCTGGCGCCCGGGGGCAAAACATAATTTGGCACCCCCCACAAAAAATACAAACTCATTCGCCCTTTACATTCTTACTTTCTAGCCGTACGTGGCAACCCTACCTATCATGGTACTGTATCTCACCATATTTCATGATTATCTGGTCTCTGAAAAACAATTACTGGCCATTTAATCCCATAAAAAGGGATCATGTGATGAATGGGGATATTTTTTATTTGATTCTATTTAGTTAATGATTTTCATGGGTTTATCAAGTTTTTTTTGGCCATTTGATGCTTCGATATGGTGTGTACATATTTGTGTTAACTACCTAGGCATAGAAAAACCAGGATCTTTGTAACACTTCAGTTCATTTACCATACACTCAAGTACTGAATTCCACTCAATACAGTATGCTAAATCAAAGATGAAAGGCTGTGCTTCCATTAAAGTGTTTTTCTTATAGCAAAGCCACATCGGGTCTATCTGCTGTGTCCACCGAGTGGAATCGAGCCTCTGGTTGTAGCATTGTTAATCCAAAGACTTACCGCTGTCCCACTGGGAGACAAGATGAAAGGAACACCAAATGTCAGTTCACAATACAGTTGTATATTATACTCTACATTAATATAAATGTAACACAGCTCTCCTGATTGGTATTATTATAAGATTACAGAAACAAAAAATCCCTCGACAGCTTGAAAAATACGGCTGCAAGATGTCAGGTGTTCACAAAATTGTTAAAGTTTCTTCCAACTATCAGATGTGAGTGTATTTTAATCAATTAACACTGAAAATCACGGGATTTCCCTAGGCATGATATTTCTGATGATATACTAATATTTGATGTCAAACATAACAAAATCATTTTAATGAGCCTTAGTCTTATGGGTAAACTAGATGTTAAATTAGCGCCTCCCAAACCCGGCGTCCGGGGGCAAGTGCCCCCCTCACTACGCTACGGGTTGGAAGACTTCAGATTCAAGCGTAAGGTTCTACCTAACAAACACCTGTAAAGTCAACAACTAAAAAAAACTTATTTTCTTACTATCAGATAGATATCACTAAGGTAACTTTAATGAAAAGAACGAAATGGTGAGTTTGCAGATCTCTTCCTGACATACAGTATGAACTGTTTGTCACTATTCATCTTTGTAATAGCATTCACTCAGTAAACATGAGGATTATTCAAGACTCTGTCAGCTATTACAGAGTGCTTAAAGTGCTTAAAGCTAAAGAAGAGGCTACAGAATAAAAAAAAAGGTAATCATAGCTTCGTTGTCTCAAGAGTTAAAGCTAGTTTTCCAAGAAAACAAACAAGAAAAAAAAAGTTATATATATATATATATATATATATGATATATATATCGTGTTGTATTTAAAGTTTTGTTTTTCAATTTCTTGGTAAGATAAATTGAGTTCAACATTAACTAGTACTCCGAAATTCGAAAAGTGAGGCTTCAAAGAGAAAATACGAGCACCTCTTGAGCTATTGAAGGGATTTGATTATACGAGCACATGAAACTTGAATTTTCAGATACGCAGTGTTATAAAGAAAAACAAACACAAAGAAACTGATATCAGTTAAAACATTTGTTTGCCATCAAGCCATACATGAAGGAAACCAATCCATCAAATAAAGTTAAAAAAAAAATTATAGTAGAACCTGCATGCTTGCTTTTACTAAAGGAGGTTGAACTTAATACGGATTAAATGTTTTCTAAGAGTTTCTAGTTACCATGCCATCTAACAGAAGACTGGGGGGGGGATTGTTTGAGACCTGTTAGTAAAGCAGTAAAAGTACAAGACTTTGCATTATAACATTAGCAAGGTTTCTAGAAGCTAGAATTAAAAACGTTATTGTCATTCACTTGCAGAAATAAGTTATATAGATATGTTTCTAAAGCTTTAAAATGGTTTGAGGGTATTGAAATGATTTCTTCCTACACGTACTGACACTTATTTGCGACTAAAATATTTCTGTCTCTCACTCTATATATATATATATATATAAATATCAGGTGTTGGACTAAGTGGATCATTTCAGAGTCGAAGATAGTTGCAGCATACTTCAAATACCAATGAAGTAAGTAAATATCTAGAGTCAATGTATTGATTCCAGCAAAGATAGAAAAACGCATTGCTGCAACTATTTGGCCAAAATCTGAGGTATTGCCACAGCAATTTTAAGCACTTTAGTGCCATTATTCTTGTGTTTCTGAAGAGATATAAACAGTTTAGCATCACATGCAAACACAATAGCTTAATATTTGTTATAGTAAGAGAAAAAACAGCAAAAAGTTGTAAAATTACTGTTGTTGTGTTTTTTTTCTTTTATAGGGCAAAATATATAGTAAACACAGGTGTGCCTACTATATGTTACACCATCTGAACTAGGTATTGCGAATGCTTTAGACATTCTGGAATACAGGAAGTTATTAATATGCTGCTAATATTTTTATTTGAACATCCTGCAAATCTGTTAAGATTAGTTATGATAATGTCGAAAATATGCAGCACTATCTATCAAAGGTAAATAATACTTTCATGTTTTTGTAGTTAAAATATACACATTGGAAATTAATAAAATGTATGGATGGAAAATAATGAAAATATACCCATTTAAAGTTATTGTTATTTAAGTAATTACAAAGAAAATCAATTAATTACTTTTGAACATTCAGATCAGTTGTTAAAATAAGGTTTTCATAACAAACGATAAATGAATTATAATCAAAATCAAGCGTTGTGTTGTGGAAAATCGTAATTTAACATAAAAGTAGAGAGTGATATCTGATCATGTGTTATCTACAAAAAAAAGGGCCAAGTACAGCAAATGCCATGCTTTTTTAAGCATGTTATCAACAAAAAAAGCAAAATTGCATAAAGGTGTGTAAATATATAAAAATGTAATAGATTCATTCGACGGGAATCGAAGTTTAATGATGAACAACAGGAAGACGGCAGCAACAACAAACATTTGACACGTGTATGTTCAGTAACAAACATTTAATTATTGAACGTTTCGGAATATACATATTCCATCTTCAGCAAGCTATATTGAACATGGTAAATTATTAGGTACCGACATTTTATAAAGTTTAAACATTCTATAAAAAGTAACTAAAATACAGAATAAAAGTATGAAATGAATTAAAAGACAATCAAATAAACAGATAATAGAATAATGCAACAATATTATACTATTATTTATAACAGACTTAATTGTAATGAAGATGTGTTATTATTTGAAGTTGGGGGTTCATTTATAATTGATAAACTTTATTTAATTAAAAGTTCAATGTTTGATGATCCAGATGAGATGACTTTGAAATTCGTAATCAAAACGGGGAGTCTGGTGGATTTGATATTTGTTTACCAGTTCTACTTGATATTCACATATGTTTGCAGGCTCGCAGGTATAATTGGTGTGTAGTTTTGCCAATGTAAGTGGCATTACAGCCACCACATGTGTATTTCTATATGATCATGGAACGCATAGGGGTAAGTAATAGGTCTTTAGATCGGAATAGATTTTGTATTTTGAAAGATGATTTAAATATCATTTGTAGCTGAACTTGTGGATAAAACGTTTTAACTATTCTAAACATTTGTGATTACAGTATCAAACTTTGCTTACCTAAAAATGAAACGATCAATCTTAATGGGCATTTATC